CGGCCGTTGACAGGACTTGACTGTCCTAGGTGCTGCGTTTGAAACATTTCCTCTGGCATCCATCAGCCTTGGCCAGCTGCATTGGAGTTACTGGACGCATCCATGCTCTTTCCAATAGGTCTGGCCAAGGCAGCATCCACAATTTGTTGCCCCTTTGCATTGCGAATCAAGGCAACTCCACCCAAATGCCCTCCAGGCACATCCATTTACACAGGCGCCCCAGTATTGACGAGTCCTGCACTGGTGGCAAAACTAAAAATGCCATGTGCCACACTTCGAGCAGGATCCAGGTGCGTTAGGGCCGTGCATCAAGGTCCCACACGTGCTGCCCATGCCCAACTTTGTGACGGATCTGTGTGCTTCTTTCTCATACGCTGCTTGATGTCCTTGTCGTTGCGCTGCCATCGCACGGCAGCGGCGAAAGTAGAGATCAATCTGCGCACACATGTAGTGAGAGGTTGAAAGTATCTTTGCGCATGTGATGTAAGGCCCGACAGCGACACCCAAGCAAAAACTGAGGAACAAAAGCAGGCACCAACCATAGAGGTTTGATGTCTCTTGCCAGCACTTGCAGTCGACTCGGCCTGACTCCATGAGCGGGGCAATGAGCCTTGCAGGTGCTCAGCTCGCCTGACTGTAAGGTATCTCAGGCAAACTGCCCAAACCCGGGCCGTTGAATAAGTGCGACCAACGAGCCAAAAGGATCAAAAGCAAACCATCTGGCTGATTTCTTTGTGCATGCTTGAGAGGATTCAACTTGGTTCAACCCACAGTCGCTGGACTAGTTTTACGGCTCGTACGCGAAAATCAAGCAGCCGCCACAATCTCTGTAGATATAAGAATGTTGTGCACATTTATGTGTATATATATATATAACCAACAAATAGTAAATAGTAGAGGCTGTAAAAGGCCATCTACTAGGTGAAACCTGTAATGTCAAAGCACCCTTCCAGCACCAGACCAACTCAACCCAGCCGTCTGCTCCAGCCAGGAGACGGTAGAGGTTGTTGACGATACAGGCCGGTGGAGCAAGAAGTTGAGCCGCAAAGATCATGAACATGCCCATGTTCTGGATACCTGGAGGAGCTTATGAGCACCCACAAGTGTGGAAACGTATCAAAATGTTCAAGGTCTTCTTTGGCCCAAAGGTTCCACTGTTCCGTGTCAAGTGACCTAGATCAGAGTCGGGTATGGGTCATGAATTCCTTCGGAGGAGGTCCTCTCGATGTATATAATTCGGCTGGCCAACTGGATCACAAAACAGCCACCTTGCTCTTGGATCGATGCCCCACGTGCAGACACCCATCATTGGTGCCACCTATCATTGGTCTGGCCTGGGCCACCCCCAGTGGCGCCCCGAATCGGGTGCAAGGCCAGAAGCTGCCAACCAAAACATACAGTTCTTCACTGACTCACTGTTTCACCCCAGTCCTCATCCAAGTTCTCCTCCCCTGCGAAGCCCCAAGTGGCCAAACTTGTGGTGTCTGCTGGGGTGGCCGAAACCTTCACCAGAGCAGACCTCCCCACCGCCCCACCCCTTCGCGCGGACAAAAGCAGTCTTTGTTCAGCTCCAAACTCGCCAACTCAGCAGCGGCCACAGTAGGACGAGGTGCTGTAGAACTTCTCCAAGATCCCCAGACCCCAGTAACGATACATGTTCCCTGCGATGGGCATGAAGTTCTCAGCCTTCTTGTCCTGGAATTCCCAATGGAAGCTGGTAACCCACCCAAACAATTGCAAGTTGTGCCTGATTGGGGGGAAAGAGGCCTTTACAGTAGCATTCTTGGCGTCCCAACACCCAAAGTTGACATTATTTCAACACCGAAGTTCATGGGAAAGCATGGGGCTTAGTGACGATTGTCTTGACTCAACGCCAGCTGCCGCCAGCTTGTGGACTTCCCGCGTCACACAGGCACCTGTCAATCCGTCCCTAGCTGCTGAATGGCAAAGCCAAGTAGAGACCGGCTGGCCAATCTGAGCCAGACGTCGCTTGATTCTCATCGGAGTCTCATCTGAATCAGTGGACTTAGAAGAAGCAAATGTGCTTTTTCTTGGGCTGTTGCCCCAACCAGCCTAAGTTAGAAGTCAATCTTGTTTGGGATGCTGATTCTGATGGTTAGACCGGAAGACTGGGGGAGGCTTCTCTTGCCATGCGCGCGCCGTCTCTTCCCGTCGGCGCGCGGCCTGTGCGGAGTAGGCCATGAGCTCCCGGAAGTTCTGCGCATCATCCAGGGCCTCACCTGAGGAAGCGGTGCACGTGGCTGGCTAGGGGTGCTCACTAAGCCGGCTGCCAAACATAGCCAAACCATGGGCGCACGTAGCTGGCTAGGGGTGCAATCATTTTACAGTATATAAGTAAAAGTAAGACTACGATTTGGCACTTGGCTCAGAAGTGGAAGACATCCAGACTTGGTCACCCTCAAAACCGCTTCAAAATCCAATCTAAAACTTTCCGAAACATCTCAAGATGTGGCTTTTGGTCGATCCCAAGGTCAGAAGGATGCTGATCCAAAGGTCCCCCACTCGTGGGAATGTGCATGTCATGATTTCAATAAGGAGACACACTCTGGCCTCGCCGCTTGGCTGGGTAGACTGCTCTGTCCTAACCGAACCCAGGTCGGAACGACTGGGAGGTCTTCCATGTCTTGAGCTACACACCCATGTTGGAGTTCTGCCCATTTCATCCATCATCCAGTTCACAGCGGCACTTCTGAACAAGAAATATCATATATCAATGTCACCGAGAACCCTCTGAACAATGGCCTCTCTGACGACCAATAGAAATACCGCCTGAGCATGGCAACCTCTGGATACTCCACTTTCACACCCCAACTCACCCAACAACTGTCTCAACCCTCCTTGGCCCCCAAACTCCCTCTTCTCCAAGCAGCCTCCCGCCCGCTCTTCATCAGCACCCTCAGCGCCCTCTTCCGCCTCCAAGTCCCGCGGGGATGTTAAGGGCACGTCCTCACCATCTGCCGCCATGTGCTGCGCCTCGTAACTCAGGACTCGGGTGTAGTTGGCCGCCTGGGCGCGCAGTGAATCCGGTTCACACCGGGCATGGCACACCAAGCATGCGAAAATCCCCGTCTGAAGCAGTGATTTCGGCCATGGTCTGTAGTGGTAGTGGAGCGGTGGCTTCTTCTGTCGAATAGACTTGATGACATTGTGACAAAAAATTGATGTCTTGGGTGTGCGGATCTGCTACTTACTAAAGGAGGAACGACGACGACTGCTCACAAAGACAGTAGCATGGAAACAAAATATGCCCTGGTGGGAGCCATTGCAAGTGTCACACAAAAACGTAGCTGATGCTGCAATGGCATCCATTCTTGAAGCCTGGAAGAACTGAACTCCTCATGGGTGTTCACTCCTCATCAGTAGGATTAGGGGCTGTCGAAGCTTGCTGGAGCTGTGATTTGGTGCCGTTCCGGCTTGGCAGCTGAGTGCAGTTCAACCAAATCCCAATGATTCGAGCCCAGTGGCAGAAGTTTCTGAATCCTCAGATGTCAGCACTCTGCATGTGTCAGCACTCTGGAGCTGTTCAACTCAGTTGTGGGATTTTGTGATCCTCTTTCACCTCTCCAACAGGTTCCTTCCTAGAAGGATTTGCTGACTCAACCTCCAGCTGCTGTTCCAACACACAGGTTTTCTGGACACGCGGTGAAACCGCACACACGAGCCCTGTAGAGGTGGTTTTTCTCCGCCCCCCCCCAGCACCCTCGGCCTAGGGATTAAATCAAGAAGAGTGAGAGAAGGAGAAAAAAAAAAGGGAAAAAAGGCAGAAGGAGAACAGAGAAAGAGAACTCGGAAAGAGGCTCGATGTGTCAGATGTGTTCTTCGGTTTTAACTATGGTTCTTTCGATTTGTCAAGAGATGTGTCTTCTTTCGTTCGCCATGTTCGCCATTTGTCATGTCTCTCATGTCTCTCACTTCGGACGGCGGCGCGGCCACCACGCGCCGAGTCGCAAAGGCCTCCAGGTCCATTTTGGAAGCTTTGCTCTTGGCCACCAAGGGTGCCAAGGCTCGCCGGGCCCACTTTGGCCACTTCTGAGGCCGCAAGCGCAGCACCATCTCGACGGACGCGATGCGACACGGGGGACACAGGGAGGGCGAGCTGCCAGGTGTGCTGTTCCAGCACAAAGGGCTGCAGATGCAGGTGGGATGGAAGTCGGTGTTTGATCCGATTTGATCTATCAAGACTCTACATCACCATGAAAGCGGAACATGATGGAACCGGAGTGACTCATCCCGCCGTGTCGTGGCAGTCCTCCATCGATCTGGAAGTCTCTCCCTGCCCATCAAAACCATTGGGAAAATGACCAAACTCCTCCAAAAGCTCTGACCCTGCAATGCTGGACAGTGCTCAGCCAAGCGGAGCAACGGCAGCCAACTCCTCTGGGGTCACCCACCGAGCGCCCCCCATGCTTGGCCGCCTCGGCGCTTGCCGGACGAGTTCCAGGAATGGGCTCCCGGAGTTCGGTTTCCGGCTGGACCAACCGAGCTAAAAAGGTGGACCGAGCTACAAAGAAAAATGGATAGACTGGTCTATGTTCCGAACCATCCAAGGGGATCTGGGGAGGTCTCCGGATTTCTTCATCCGCCTCCATATGAGAGACCCTCCGACTCGCTGGCCATTGGGACCTGGGCACCGGGTCCAGGTACAATTTATAGAGATCTAAGAGATTGATAAGTTTGACCTGGAAAGCATCTCCTGGATACAGATGACGGCGGCATCGCCCTGCAATGTAAAGTATTGAAGAAGACATGCTCTTTAAGTCAAGCCCTCTTCAAGTAAGCCCTGCCAGTGAGACCTCCAATACGACAAAAGTCTTCTCACCTTGCGCCAAAAACGATGAATGTCTCATCATGCTGCGCTTCTGGAGGTGAAAGAAAAAAGGAAGGCCCCAAGCCCTCACCGGCCTTGGAACCTTGGCCCTCTTGGCCCTGGCAGGCCCTCTTGGCCCTGGCAGGCCCTCTTGGCCCTCCTTCCCTCCTTCCACCCAGTGGCAAAGACGCCCACGGCACAAAGGCCATCGCCTCCCGCAACCTCGACACGGAGACCGGCCGAGCCAACCCCCTGGGGGGACACCGGTGCTGCCGGGACACCGGTGCTGGGACGGGGACGGAGGTCGGAGGTCGGGCCCGCGGCGTAACGTTACGCCATGAGAAACACCCCCGGTGTCACCTCCCGTCCGAGAGCTCAACCGACCAATGTCGGTGACCGCTACAAGGCACCGAAAACGGGGGAAAGGGGCACCGGTCTTGAGACATGAATGGATGACTTTTTCTTGAAGAGGGACGGATCAACGCAGCGGCTTGGTGGAAATGCTTCAGCTCTTGGAACCAACCAAATCATTTTGCTCACCTAAACTACGCCCTGTCTTCTCCAGACCAACACCCGGCGTCCTGCTTGGACACCCGGACTCCGCGGGGGTAAAAGCGCAACGCGTAGGGCCCCAAGCCAGGCGACAACCTGGGTGCGGAAGGTGCTGCCGACCATGGGAGAGAATCTAATTCCGATTTGAATTGTGATGGAAGGATCAGACTCAAAATGAGAAACTGAGGAAGAATCAAACGTTGAACTTCGAACTTCTGGCACTCACAACAAGAATGCCCTGAATGACCCCTATCTGGGCAGATGGTGTAACTCAGAAAGGGCTGTTGGTACTTAGCTCCACGCGTGGTGCCGCATGCGGGAAGAATTAGATTATTTTTTATCACCATCAACTCTCCCTGCCCACCTCTTTGGTCGTCCAAATCATCCTCCAACTTTTTGGGGCGCGATGCCATGCCATTCACGTCCGGTCCTTCAGTCCTTCGGTTCACAGCTCCTCTGGTCCGTCGTTCGGCTCATCCCAGGCGGCTCAAAGTCGGCGGAGTCGATGTAGACGCCCTTGGCGTCTTTGGAGTCCATCGAAAGGTACCTGCGGTGTTCGAGGCCAAGGCCGGCCACGCCAGGTGATTGATGTGCTAAGAAAAATAGACCAAAGAGTGTGGGGATTGTGGGGATTGGGATGATTATGGATTGTGAGAGCATCCCACACATGCACTTCTTGGAGACTACCTGGAGATCCTGGAGATGTCCATCGATTTGCCATGATGTGGGTAGTTTGCCGAGGCATCTGATCTTCTTTCTCTGCTGAAACTAAACTTCAGGTGATGTCAGACACCCCTCTTCAGAACACCTGAAGGCTTCAAGAGCACCCACACATTCGAGCTTGGAATTTGGACCAAAACCTGTGCCCTTTTTGGGTGGCCAAGGGACTCTAGACGCTGCTGCCATCGCGGAAGCCGCCACTCATGACTGGAGCCTTGACCTAGGCAAAGTCGAGGCTTTTCAGAAAGGAACTGCAAAAACCTGGAGGTGTTAGTGGATCGGACTGTTCATACTGACAAGATGCTCCAATCGCACATGTTGCTCCGATCGCTTAACCCTTGACTCTTCATTCAAGCCCAAACCCATCCGTCCTTCAGGGAGTCTCGCAAATTGGACCGAAAGAAAGAAAGAACACTGCAATCTTTTGGCCACGGCCAAAAGACAGCACCCACCCATGTTCGCCCAGGCGAACCCATTCTTCACCCAAGCTTCTATCATCCCAACCCACTCACCGTCAAAACAGGGGATGCCTTGGGCCTAAAAGTCCAGCAACGAAGCAAGAAGGCTGGAAGTTAGACTGTAAGCAAGTCTCAGTTTCGACCCATCCTGCCAATTTCTTCCAATGAGTCTTCCAATGAGTTCCGAGGAGAAAAAAAAAGAACCTGGGAGCAAATCACCAAGGAACGCTGAAGTTCCCGTAGGCCCTTGGCCAGAACCGCCTTCTCAGCCTCCAACCTCGTTTTAGGCGAGCTGACGCAGCGGCGGGAGGGGACGACCGTGGGGACGACCGGTGTGAAAAAAACATCCACCGGTGTCGACATGAGAGCGACACGAGGTGATGACCTAGATCTTCCCACCTATGTAGACGCTCCATGGGACTGCCATATATATATATATATGGCGATCAGTTGGGGTGGTGGCAGGGGGTCAATGCGGCGGCATATATTCCAGTCCCATGGAGTGTATGGGCTATGCAACATGCCTGCCCAAATGAGCTGGGTTTTATAGATCAATGGCAGAAATGATGGCACGTACGTTGGACGATCATAGGTATGATGGGGGGCACGTGGAAACCATGCGGGGGGACGACTGGATGGCACGTGTTCAGGTGATCCGTGATGGCACGTGTCCTTGGTTTTCTCGGATGTGAACAGAACAGAACAGGCAAGCTCTGAGAAACCTGGAACCACCAAACCTGCAGATCCGGCCCTCCAACTCCGACCTGTTTCAGGACACCGGGCCGGATCATCGGTGTCCGAGTGGCCAGACCGACTTGAAAAAAGACCCTAAACCAAAGGATCCCGTCATGGCCAACTCAGGAAAAGGAGGAACCAAATCCATCCCAGCTCTGGAAAAGAAGCACCGAGTCTCACGGCCATCGTCACGGCTTGCAGGCGGCCAAGAAGCGCGCACCAATCGTCACGGAAGCTGTCGCCCAACAAAGGGTCAACCCTTACTATACTCACAGGTTCCAAAAGGGTCAGCTCTTTATATATGTCACCCCAGTGAATCCAATCCAAACAGGGTCAGCTCGAATCCTCAACGTGCAACCAACTGGACCTCGATGAAACACATGCTTCGAAGGCCCCCCCACCAAACGGTGCTTCGCATCCGTTCGTTCACGTCCGTTCGCTTCCGTCCACGTTCGAATCCGTCCACGGCACACTTCGATGGCCTTCGAGGCGAGTGAGGCCTCGGCTTCCGAGCGGCTCGAGGCCCGGGTCGGTTCAAGGCAGGCGCAATGAGTCAAGCGGCAAAAACGGGTCCTGTGAACATCGTGGTGTTCTTCGTTCTTCGTGTTCTTCGGCCGCTGTGGAACTTAAGAGTAGCTTCCCTTCTTGCTGTGAATCAAAACGTGGCACTCTGCATACTCTACTCTGAAATCATTGGAATACACCAATACGTTGCTCACGTCCATAGGAATCCACTAGACTTCTTTGACTTGCCCTTGACTAGATTCATTTCTCAGCTCATCTGACTCCAACCTGGGATGAAGAGTCTTGAGACCAGTACCCATCCGGTCCCTACCTCACCAAACGTCCCATCCCCAGATGGTGACACGGTGAAACACCGGTCAGATCCGCGAAAACCCCCCTGGCCCAGCGTTCGGTGAAAGAACGGGTCAGGGGCTGGGCTCGTTCGACTTCACGAGGTGTGTCCACTGGAAGACTCCCAACCCGCATTGTCAGTCGGAAGTGCCTGACTTCGCAGGCCATGCATGGAGGTCATTAGCTCCTGTTTGAGCTCCTTGACCTGGTCGGAGAGCTGACCCAGTCCAGTGAGTGTGTGTGCTGTATCTGGTCAGAGGCAGCGCATTGCTGTGTCAGCTTCAGGCTAGTCCCTGTCACCTCAAATTTCGCGACCCATGTGGCAATCCCTCAAAAGAAGCACCAAAAGAAGTCTCCATGTTCGCTCCCTTGAAGTTGCTTCAAAACAAGGAAGAAGTCACCCGCAAAAACAGAGCTCGTTTCCACTTCACCCACCCACACCTCGTCCCGTCGAACTCCGTCTGGCCCGTCGAAAGGGAACTCCAAGACTTGGTCGGACAGAAGGGCGACTCGTTCCAGAAGAAATGAGAGAGCTGCCAGAGATACCATACCATAGTTGGGTGGTACCGTCCACTTATGAAATAATGATCTATGGCATCCTATATGATGCCAGATTAGATTACCTTTATGAAGGGTAAGTATGACAGTAGACCTCGCCCCATGAGGTGTACACTTCGTCAACCTCCACGTCGTCCTCTCCCCAACGCCAAATCGCTTCAAAGGCGACGCCGTGGGAAACCACGAGATGCACACCTCCGGTCTCCAGCTGGCGTCGCACTGCGCCACCGCCTGTGACCCGCAAGACGGCGCAGGGCGCATACGCGGCGCATACGCGGCGCATACGCGGCGCATACGCGGCGCGGGTGTGCGAGGTCGCAGGCAAGAGGATGCCGGTGATGGTTTGTTCACTGCAAGCACTGTTTTTCTTGGGAACAGGTGGGGCCAGCGCGGATCTGGAGAACTCCCTGTCGTCTGGTGTCCAGTTGTCGGCTAGACTTGTAGACACCATCGCTTCAAAATTCAAAGCCCCCAACATGCGGAATGTCCATGGGATTAGAGTGCTGGGTGAAACCCTTGCAGCTTTCAGGTTGGATTCTTACAGCCGCCCCCTAAAGTCCTGCCAAGGCTGTTGGCACATTTGTCCGCAGCCAGGAGATGAACTCCCACTATGGGATCCTCTGTCTCAAATTCTGTTCTTTCCACCCCACCCTCCCCCACCCCCCGACGTGGCCTGAAACGCCTCTTCGGTCTTCTCCTGCCATTTTCGACCCCCAACCCCCGAACCACTGCCGGCTTCGGCGGCCGCTCTGTCCGAACTACAGTAGGAGGAGCTCCAGGCGGGACACCGTTCCAACCCAGTTGGGTTCGGAAAAATCGACCGGTCCACCTGGCCGATTTCGAGGATCTCCCGCCATCGCTACAACCGGAGAACACTCCCGGAACACTGTGTTCAAGTGACCCATTTCGGGCTCCTCTCGCCTTGGTCCATTTCGTTGACTGGTGCTTGGGGTGGGCGGGTGCTGGCCAGAAATGGTCTGTGCCTACCTTCGGTTCAGATTCAACGGTTGCCGGAGCCCTAGGGTTAAAAAATGAAACTCATCCAAACTTTCCACAGAGTCGCTCCCGATTTTAGGACACGCCCATCTGGGTCACCTGCCACAGGCCCAACAAACAGTGTGGGTGTGGGTTTCCCCACCAAACTACTTGGGTTGACCAGAGAAAATGAACAGATTGGACGACCTACAGTTTGGTTTGGGCCCAACCGCTCTACCACCGCTGCACCCAGACTCCGGCCTGGCTGAGGCGGATGGAGTCGCTCAGCTTTTGGAGCTGGGGCGCCAGCTGTTCGGAGAGCTCCTTCTGGCCTAACCCCACGATTTCCACAGCCACACACACAGACACAGCCGACACTTGTTGCCTCTTTGAGCTTAGCACTTCAAGTCCGTCCATCGCAAGCGCAAGCGCGCGGGCACACACGTGCCGGCGCATCGGGCACGCGTCAGGGCACCCGTCTGCGGTCGGAGGTGTTTGACGTTCCAATTGGTGGAGCTGGGCTAGACTTACTGGCCTCAGACCTTGTGAAGGTGAGATGAGTGGAAGTTCGAAAGCAAATCATGTTATTACATGTAAGAAAATAGAAATGACTGGCGAGTTACAGTACTAGTAGCGATGGCCTCCAACCTAATAGCCATGGCCTCCTACCTAATGCAAAAACTGCATTGGAACGGGACCCGGACCCTTGGAAGACAGACTTGAAAAGGGAAGCTGCGAAGACAACGTGATCGAAGGATCTTCCTATCACATTGAAAGTCGCCTCATTCTTGTATCGACATGTATCGACCAGAAACCAAGAGGCTGAGGTTCTTTCATGATTGACCCTGCAAACCCATGTCCGACTCTCAAAGGTCCAAGCTGTGAAGGTGACCAGAAGAACGCCCCTGCACAGTCGCTCGGTGTCTGCGAACCCCGCCTTGCAGCAGTTCTTGCCGCAGCTCCTCCTGGTGTCGCTCTTCCTCCTCTTGAAGGGCCTGTATGTCGCACGCATGTCTGAGCTTGGAGAGAGTCAGCGAGTAAGACAGCTTCCACTGGATGAAAGGGTCTTTGGCCAACCCCCCAGCGCTGACCGGGCCCTTCAGATCAAAAAACGACCGAATTCGGAGAAATAATGTGCCTCTATATACCTGAGGTACTTGGGAGAGCTGAAAAATTCCAAGACTCCCTCATCACAGGCATCCTTGCCCCAGATCCTTGAACTCTTACGGTCCACTCACTTGCTAAATATGACTTTGGCTCGAAGTCCACTAGTACAGCACTGCATGTTGGGGGGCACTTCATCTCTCGGGCATCTCTTCCACTTTTCGTCTGCTGCAGACGTTGCCAGCGATCCCAACTCCACCTCCAAACGTTCTTCCAAAGCACCGACCTCAACGCCGCAGAACTTTCCGCAACAGCCCGAGCCGCATACTAGGACCGTTCTAGGGCTTCGACGGGAAAAAGATCAGGTTCGCCCGAGCTGGCAGAGTTCCGACCAGCTTCCCAGCTTGGGTTTCTACTGTCGTTGCTGCTCTCCGGGACATGGTGGCCGTGATGGCCATGAGGATGGCCGGCGACCAATCTTGTGAAGCAACACATACCAAACACCGGCGGAGTCACTTCGAACTTCTGGACTCTTTTTGGGCTCTCCCGAAGTGCTGAGTCAAACCGACGGAGTCCTGATGTTCGTTTCAGCCCCCCGGCGAGCCGAGCCGAGCTCCGGAGCTTCTCCTGGCCTCGTGAGGTCTCGCTGCCGACGAGTCGGCGCCGAAGGGAACAAAGGGCACCACTCGGGGGTTCCAAGGGCGCAGAGGGGAACAGACCTTGCGCAAGCGCAAGCGGGTTCCAAGGGATGGTTCCACCACCTTGTTTTAAGAGGGAAAACCATCCCTGGGCGCAGAGGTCGAGGTCTTTGGGGGGTCTCCCTGACTCATAATACACACCTAAGATGCACATCAGAGATGTTTGCGCGATGATTGTTAGGCCTGTAATGTTTCTTGGAGTCGTTGTGCCCAAAGATGCGCACAGATCGGAGCATGCTCTTAGAGGTTATCTGAGTTCGTTGAACCGTAGGTCGGTGTAACATAGATGAGACTGAAACTTCCAACGCCGACAGCTATCAACTTCTTACGGACAAAGTGACAAGATATTGAACCCAGGTTTGAAAGCGCACAGCCCCCCTATGGAATAAAGAAAGATGACAATGAAACGAATCCTTATAACTTAAGCCGAGTATTTGCCCCTCCTTCCTTCAAGCCACATCTACCTGTTTCGTTTGATTCGCCACATGGCACAGCGTGTCACTTCTGGGTGTCACACATGCCGCAGCTTCGTCCCTCACGAGTTGCTCCAGTGCCTTTGCACGAGTTCGTTCCACTCGCTCAGTGCCGGGATCCTTCATCCTTCCTCGTCTCCTGAGGCTCGTCCCAAGTGCTCCAAGAGCCCCATCGGCGGTTTCGCCCGGAAACCGCCGCGAAGCCCGGCGGGTTCCCAACTTCCGAGGATGGACACTCGCCAACCCACCTCTTCCCAGCCTCGCAACGCAGCGAAGCCGTCTCTGCAGCGCTGAGGGCCTTCCCACTCCGAAGTGGTTCAGAGGGCAAGCTGTGTTCCATCCGTGAGGCCTTGGGGGTCAACGAGGTCCTGTGCCATATACCTATTAATTAGCTGTTTGAGAAGACCCCAGTCTACCTGAGCCCAGACGGTTGATCCAAGATGCTCGTGCTCGCAGCGCGTGACCAGCGGGGCGAGTTGTGGAGCTGCTCGAAAGACGCCGTCCAAGCGTGGTGAAAAACCAGGCCCGATCGAAGCAGGTCGTGGCAGGTAGAGTGGGGGTGGATAAACCCATGTACATCTGAAACTGCTTTGTGAAAAGGCTAGCGCCAGCTACAAGCTTTCCCCTGTCCAGACTCTTCAGTTGCAACTACAAGTTCCTTCAAACTGTCGCAACCCAGCTCTGCTCTCCAACGGACTGAGCTCCACATGCGCTCCGCACGGCCAAGCGCCTCGGTGTCGCCCTTGGAGATTTGCTGCCGCAGCTGCTCCTCTGCGGCGCCTAGCGAGTGAGACTCAACCAGGGCTCTCTTTTTGGAGGGTGTAGGTCGAGGGATTCTCCAAGACCCCTTAAGGGGCTCAAGCTGTCCCAACTTGTAAAGGCTGAGAATCTTCTTGAAACTGGCAATCTACTGGAAACTTGTTGATGACTTTAATCGGACGCTTGCCTTTTAAAAAGACTACGTGGAACATGAATGGAACATGAACAAAAGACTACGCTCCTGTTCGTGTCCACCCACTGGGCCACCTCCCCAAAAAATAAATCCAATGGCACTGAGCATCGACGTGATCCCAAGCAGCGCAGTCACCACCGTCGAATCCGTCGAGGTCCGCACCTAGGGCCTTGGCCTGCAGCTCGGCACGTCGCACCTCCTGGGGCAGCGAAGGACACCAGTGGTGCTCGTCTCCCCTGAGGCGAACTAAGCTGTTTCACAGGAGCTTGCAAACCATCCCCCCCAAAAGCGAACATGCTCTGTCGCGGCACAAGGGGTGCATATTTGAAAGGAGGCCGAACTCTGAAAACAAGTAAAGCTTCGTTCGTGGTCCAAAAATCGAGTCGATCGAATAGGGGCACCCAACGGCACCCAACGGCCC